ACAGGCAGCCAAGGAGCACTGGAACCCAAAGGACTGCACTCTCCCTGAGAAGGCCACATGTCCTGCGAAGCCCAGGGTTAGTGGGACAGTCTAGGGAACTGGCTATTTGACCTGGGAGTACATGAAACTTGAGAATAAGCAGCCACTGGAAACCTCGGGCAGGTGTGCTGCCTGTGCTCAGGAGAGAGGAAGAAACTGGTGTGTCGGGGAGCCCCCAGAGCGCATAGATTTCCCTCAGTTCTTGTGAAGGAGAAGGTTGGTGCCAGAACAAAAATTACTTGGGAAAGTCCAAACTACAGTCCTCTCCTACCCCAGTCCCCCTGGAAAAAGGCTGCACGTCTCCCCCAAGCTGCCGCATTCCCTCCTCCCTGAACATGTGCTGGGCATCAGCCAGCCCTTCCCTGCTCAGTGGCCCTGATGGCTGCCCTGAGCAGCTGCTGCCTCCCTCCTTCCTGGGTGTCCCCTGAGCCCCTGGAGAGTCAAAGCCAGGTACTAGGCGTCTGCTCAAAATATGTCCCATGCTCCAGGGAGGGAATAGAAATCGCAAAAACAGATTTTACAAAGCAGAAAGAAGTTTTGATTTGAAAGTTTCTATTATGTGCCAGGCTCTGCCAGGAGGACAGAGTTCATCAGTGTTGGAGATGCCAGATCTGCAGGAAGATCAAGCAGCTGCCAGGAGCACAGAGATGCTGCTAGGTTGGGGGCAGACCACCAATAAGATGGTTGTTATTCAGTGACAAAGGTGACACCAAAAAGAAGGAACTCAGGAGTAATCTACGGTGGTGGTACCATGAGTCTGAAAAGATCTGGGACACCCCTGGAGCTTATTTTCCAAGGTAAGCTCACACCTTTGTGCCAAGTGTAGAGATGAAATTTGCATATGAGGTTACATGCACACGCACGCACACATGCACACACGCTTAGGCACACATGCACTCACACACATGTACACACATGCTCTCAGGCACGCATACACTTGCACACACTCTCAGGCACACACACTCTCAGGCAGGCACACATACATGCACACACACATGTTCTCCGGCACACATGGATTCACACACACACATGCTCTCAGGCATGCATGCACTCATACACACATGCACACACATGTACACACATGCTCTCAGGCACGCACATGCTTGCACACACACTCTCAGGCACACACACTCTCAGGCAGGCACACACACACACACACATTCTCAGGCACATATGGATTCACACACATACACGCTGTCAGGCACACATGCACTCACACACATGCATACACATGCTCTTGGGCACACACGCACTTACACACACACTCTCAAGCACACACGCTCTCTGGTAGGCACACACACATTCTCAGGTATGCATGCACTCACACACACTCACAAGCACACATGCACACATGCTCTCAAGCACGCACATGCACGCTCTCAGGTGTGCACACATGCACACACGTGCACAAGGCTCTCAGGCACACACACATGCACACACACACTCTCAGGCACACATGTACTGACTCACACACATGCACGTGTGCACAGAGATGCTTACTCTGATTCTTTTCTCTTGACAAAGCCGACTTGATCAAGGATTTTTCTGAACCAACCCATCTCCCTATCAGTTCTTCTTTGCTCATTCATTTTCAGGTAATTCTCGTTTCAGAGGCCGCAGATAGCTAAATATCGACTCGCAGATGAATGGCATTCTCTCGCTGGCGTTTCCTCCCAGGGTGACAAGCAATTGCAGTTATGGAGCACCTTACCTGAGCCCACCCTCACAGACAGGTGGTACCAGGGATCGCATAGTGCCCTACTTAGCTTGAATGGACTCTGGCAGCCGTAAGGGAAAGAGAGAGAGAGAGACTGTCTAGTTGTAGAGATCCCCCAGACAGGAATGCCACGTCAACTCTGCCTGCAACGGTGTCTCAGGATGTGGGGCAAGTTCCTGGAACCAGGATCAGGAGGACACAGGGCCCGTGGGACACCTCTTGATGGGCCCACAGCAACACTAAAATCAGAATCAAGCTTCTTTCTAAATAGACGGTGTGATCCCGCTCCAGACCGCACACTGGGGACACAAGCAGGTACCATGTTCCATAGCACCCAGGCGCCCTGTTCTGGCATCTCTGTTGCCATGCCCCGAGTAAGGTAGGGCTGGGAGATGGGGCCACATGGACTGGTCGTGGAAGATTTGCGTGCAGCCGAGTAAATAGCTGTTCACATCCAACTCGCCAGTCTTTGTCTTTTTGTCCCCAGTCATCTGTGGTGAGCTCCCATCCCAGGGAAGGCCAGGAAAAGGCAATTAATGCCCAGCACTGAACCAAGTTTCTTCTCGCGGTGGCTGAGGAGGGATCAGGCTTTTACTGTGTGCCCTTTGAGGCTGGGAGTCCTCTCCAGTTGTGTAATCCCCAGGCCCCAGCACTCACTCCAGCCCTGGCTTGACTGCCCTGCTAGAGACAGCGTGGTCTCTGCTGCCCTCCCCGCTCCCACCCTCCTCAGGCTTCACACCTGTTGATGAGAGATCTGCAAGGCCTCTTTTTCAAAGCACAGACTGACAAGGGACCTTGCAGTGAGGGGTGTCCTCTGCAGAACCTCGTGATATCCAGGGTGGACAGCACAGATCTGAGCCTCATGGCTGACCTAGGAAGCAGACCACCCCCATTTCCTGGACAAAGGTGGTGAGAGAACCGTCACTGGGTCCATGGTCTGATCTTGTCATGTTTCCTATCATGTAGAACTGGGGAAGCTCCCTGGGGACTGAGGCCTAGAGTGAGCAGAGTGGGTCTGGGGTCTTCCTAGAAGACCAGCTCTGCTCCTGGGAGCTTTCAAACCCTGCCTGCCTGATTTTGAGTCGATCTCATTGTGAGTGAATTAATTGTGCAACCTAGAGTGGTGAGACAAGTTAATTACATAATTACTGCAAAATGACATGTTATTTCATGGCTGCAATATGGTGACTCTGTTGGAAACAATTGTAATTGCCCAGAAACTGCATTGGAGTGGCTCTGTTATCTCTCCATAACCATGTAATTAACTTTGTTACAACTTTATCTGCAACAAACTCTGAAGTTAGGAGCTAGGGCCCCGGGCACAGGCACAGCCATTCTAGACCTCAAGGCCCAAGAGGACCTGGCACTGGGGGCCCTGCTACAATCCAGGAAGATGATTTGTTTTTCCAACCAAGGAAATTTCCTCGTGACAGACTCCAGCTCTCCGTGTCTCTGTCTACACACTCAAACTCACCCATAACCCCCCATCATCACACACGGCCAGCTCCCCAGTTCCACAGCTATATGAAGCCCATGTCATGCAAAAACATCAACTTGGAGCCACACTGACTGGCTGTGTGCCTCTCTTCTTTTCCTCTTACAAAGTGGGTGTCCTCAAAGTTCAGAAGCCTCCCCCAAGATCCTATACCTTGGGCCGGCGAGATAGCTCAGCAGACTAAGTGCCTGCTTATGCAAACGCAGGGACCAGGGTTCGATTGGCCACTGAGACTGGGTGTGGTGACACGCGCCTATAATCTCACCATGGGGAGGCTGAAAACGAGAGGATCACAAGGAGTACGAGCTGTGTAGTGAGACCCTGTACCAAACATATTTTTTAAAAAAAGATCCTGTACCTTTGCCATGTCTCACAGACTGGGCCACTGACCACAAAACCATACCTTGGAGACATAGCCTCCTCCTAGTGCTGCTGAGAGCCCTGCTAGCTCCCTCCTCACAGGGGAGGACCAAGCCTGGGGCAGGATGGTGTGATGGGTCAGCCAAGCCAGCTCCCTGCCCAGGAGCACAGAGACCTTGAGGCAGTCATCCTGGGCTTTAGGCCGTGCCCAGGGTTGAATATGGGCCCTGGGTTAGTGAAACAAATGACCTAACGGCCAAGAAGCTATCCCTCCAGCCTCCTCTCTGTTCAAGCTTGGAGGCCTTTGTTTTTTAATACTGCTCAGTGATACACTACGTTCTCAGTTCCAGGCTCTGGGCTTGGCACTGTGGTGGCATTCCCGCTGCCCAGCATGAGTCGAGCTCAGCCAGACCGGTGGAAAGCGCTACTGTAACTGCCTGTGTGCTGCCGGTCTGGCTGTCTTCAGGCCTGGGCCACGTGCCTGCTGGCTGGCCTATCTCTCTCTTCAGCTTGCTCGCACCTGTGTCTGACCAGGTGTCCACTGGCTTGTCTGTCTCCAACTCTCTGGAGTCACTGCAAGTGTCCTGGGTCTTTGGGGGAAACCGGCCCATCCCGGGTCTTCCCACAGCACTGCCCTTACCATGGTAGGGTTTGTTTGTCTGACTTTCTCCCTTGCTCACTTCGCCCTTCCAGGCTCACAGCAAGTTCCTAAAAGGCAGGGATCGTGTCGCGTTTATGAATCAACCTTGTGCTGATTTGTACTGGCTCGGCCCTGCTTGCACCACGGAGTTGCTACACAGACTAGATTGAGGCCTGTTGACTCTCCCGCCAGTATGGACAAAGTTGAAGGGAAACATTTGTTCTTGCTCACATAGAAGAACAGAAGGCTAGACCCCAGATATGGCCTAAGAAAACAGCGTGTCACCCTGAAAGGAAAAGGGCATTTCAGGAGTACATCTCCATGATATGGGGCTCAGGATTTGGGAGTCCTGCTGCAGAGCAGATCAGAGCTGAGTCCTCATCTGGGCAGCAGACATGGGGCCCCATCATGGGAACATGAGGCTTCACACTGTCCCTCTACTTAGAGGCCTGCTCAGGGCTTAGTATATGCCTTCTCAGAAGGTTAAGCACCCCAGGTATGGCTGGGGATGGGGGATTAAGTTCATTCACTCCTTCCTTCCTTCCTTCCTTCCTTCCTTCCTTCCTTCCTTCCTTCCTTCCTTTCTTCCTCTCTTTCCAGCTTCTCCCTAAAGCCAACCTGGTGTTGTCTGCTCAGCCACAGTGCAAGCTGAAGGACCACTCCTGCTCTGTGCCCTGTCACTGAGGGCCAGAGGAGAGGGGACACCCCAAGGTCCATGTCAGTCATGTGAACACACAGTATAATGTCCGCGGAAACATTCATAAGTTTAATCCACGCCAGTAATAAAATCGCATTACATTTCTCATAAAATAAATGTTCCCATTTATATACAGAAGACAGACTGTACAGGCCCAGCCCGGCCCCAGGAGGGGTCACGCACAGAGGGGCAGGGCAGGAGAGGAAGGGCCACCCTCCCATCCAAGATGGAGAAGTTCTCATTTGGCAGGACAGCAGCTGGCCAGCCCATGGTGGCAGTTGGCCGGCTGGCCTCCCAGGAGGGTGGGCAGGTGGACAGAAGGCTGGATGGGCCTGGAGGCCGGGCGCCGGGTGTTACTGAACCTGGGATTCAAAGGTGCCGTTGAGCTGGCCCTCCTCATAGTCCATCTGACACAAGATCATGTTGTTCTTCAGGAAGAATTTGTCCCCAACACAAAATCTGGAAAATCCAAGCAAGAAAGAGAAGCTACAGGAGGGGTTCCTGGGTAGCAGGACCCAGCCTGGCTGGGAATGGGCCACGTAGGAGATGGGATGATGGGGAATTTGCTCCTTGAACTTCCCAGAGGGCATCACAAGAGTCTCAGAGCAGGACCGGGCAAGTTACCCTGGGCCACAGGCCTCCCACCCTCAGATCTGCCATGGGGGCAGGGGAAGGGCTGGTGAGACGTTTGGCGGACAGGTAAGGAGCAACTTATCCCAGTCGTAGAGAAATAAACGGGAGGGGGGGGGGAGTGGGGAGACCGACAGAGAGAAAGAGACACAGAAAGAGACGAAAGAGACAGAGACAAAGAGACAGAGAAAGAGAGACAGACAAAGACAGAGAGAGACAGAGACGAGGAAGGAGGCATAAATGGTTGATTTCTTCTATGCCTCTGTTCCTTTCCCCAATTTAAGAAGATGGCTTAGTGAATGGCATGCTTCTTCTGAACAGAAACGATGAATTACTTGGGACATCCTTCCACGAGGTGACCTGTGCACCATTTCTTCTGCTACCAAAAGAATACCATGCTTTGAACCCCTAGTCCTCCACAAGCACTGGGGAGGCCTTTGGTGAGCCCCAGGGTCACTGGTCCAGGGACAGCAGATCCCAGTTTGACCACCAGGTGGCTCTGTAACCTCACCAAGCTCTCCTAGCAGTGCTCTGGCCAGAGTAACCCAGACCAGTGCAGACCACACCCTCTGGAAACACTTGTGTGAGTTCCTACTTGGCCAGAGGTGCCCTAGAAGAAGGCCTTCTTTATGGCATTAGGCCCTAGCCAGAGGTGAAGGGTTTTGGCTCCTTGGGGCCTCATAACCTTCCATGGGGCTGGGGCAGTGAGTAGGGCCCAAAAGATTACAAAAGAGGCTGGGTTGGAACCAGATACCCAGGAACAAGGACCAGAGTGGCGATTTCCTGAAAGGATTTCACCATGCGTTCCTGAGAATGCTTTCCCACTAGGGTGTACACACACCCACATGCACACAATTATATATAGGAGAAAAGGTACACATACCTTCCTATACATACTTGTGACGTACATAAGGGCATACTTGGACATTTAAAGGCGTATATATGTGAATATTAGATCCATGTACACATACCTACCTGTCCAAGCACATTTAAAAACATACATGTACAGGTATGCTCACACCATGTATACACAGGACACACGTACCCCATCATTACATTCAACAGAATGTCCCAAACGTGCACAGCCAGTATTGGGGTACACATAATTGACTACAAGGCTTAGGCATACACAAAACACACACACACTCACAGGCATGCCCCTCACAACAGGCACACAGCCACGAACATGCAACAAAACCACACTTGCACGCATCCCACCACAGCATCCCTAGCCCGCCCAGGCTCAGGCTCAGGCTCGGGTCTGGGGTGCGTGTCAGGTCTGCCACGGACCAGCACTCACCTCTGGTTGCAGAGCTGACAGGCGAAGCAGTCGAGGTGATACACGTTGTCCCGAGCCCGCATCACCATCTCGAAAGCTGGGATCAGCTTGCTGCAGGCGGCACAGTTTCCTGTGGTGCCGAAGAGCCTGCGAGGAAAGGGCACAGAGGACTCAAGGGCCCGGCGGAGAACTGGGGCCTCCAAAAGCTGTCTCCCACTTCAGCCCTCTGGAGGGAAACTGGTACTCTACTCCCACTAGGGAGGCTGTGTAGGGGATCAGGCCTTGGCTGATGCTGCCCACGGCCTCTCCCAGGTCCCCACTGGGGTCCCTTAAGCACTTGAGGGCTGCAGGAGAACACTGAGGCTGGGCCCTGAGCAAAGACCAGATTCACACAAGCCTAGCACAGCCTGGGCTGTATGACCTCAGGCAAGTCACAGAGCTATTCTGAGCCTCCTTTATCTCAACTGTCAAAAGCTGAGATACACCTCTCAAGGCAGTAGTTATAGAACTATTGTCAACTCTTAATTATGGCCCATTTGGCATACACCTCAGGGGAGGGGAGGGTTTCCTCAGCTGTGGGGCAGTAGTCTAGGAACTTACAAAGATAACCTCATTTGACCTCAATAGTCACCCCGGGTGGACAGCAGATGGGCCCCCACTTTCCAGGTAACAGGTATGGGTAACAGGAATGAGTCATGGAGAGATCCTCACCCTGGGCCTGGCTCCTAGGATGGGGTGCTATGCTGTATGCCACTGTGTGCTGAAGCCTATTTGTAAAATTAATGCTTCATTAAAGCATTTTTCCGCTGTGAACTTGTATCACTTGCTTAAGTACTTTTTTTTTTCTGCACCTCAGTTTCTCCTTATGTAAAATGGGGATATTGGGCCAGATGGTCCTGTCCACAGATGTTTCTCAAACAGAACTGCTGCCCAGAGAAAGACCCAAGGACATCGGCCACAATGGCCCCTCTGCAGCTGGTACCGATCCTTTTAGCTGCTGGCTGCAGGGCCCTAAGACAGGGAGCCCAGTCCCTCCTGAAGCAGGACAGTCCTTGGCTGGGTGTTCCAGGGGTTTCAGCTGACCATGTTCCCCCTTGTTTCTTTTCCGCACATGGGTGGGGCAAGCCCCAAGCAAGGCAAGGGGGCCACGCAGTGAGTGGGAGGCCCTTCTGATCCCCCATTCGACCACCTCAAGCTCAGGCACCTGCATAGGAGCCCCGCTGCATTATTCATCAGCTGAGCTGCCTGGTGGCTCAGATAAAGGCAGACAAAGGCTGGGCCACAGCCCCAGCTGGCCAGCGGGACCTTTCCCGCTCCAGGCCCAATAAGCTGTTGCTGCAGAGGTGTTGGCTGCAGAGAGCCACTCCCCAGCCTGAGAAGATCAAGGGTGATGCAGCCCTTCCCTGGCCCCAAAAGTCACTCCTCACCTCTGCCAGAATGCGGGGTAAAACCTTCAGCCCCTCGCAGCTGTCAGGGCCCAGAATGTCATGGGTTCTCCTGCTATCCCACTCCATGGTCTGGGGACTGTCAGGTGGGCTGCCCCCTCTCCTGGGCCTAGTAGGCTCAGCTGCTCTGGACATGCTCTACACGTCTAAGCTTGAAGGCTCATTCCAGGCTCTTGAGGGGTGACATCCCCAGGAGCACCCTGTTAAACCCTCCTGGTCCCAGCCTCTCCCTCCAGCCCCGGCCACAAGCTCTAACCCTCAGGTCCTATTTTATGGCATTACTTGTTAAAAGTTGTTGAAAAAGGCAGAAATTAAAAGAAAAAATGCCCACAGGTAAATCTCAGGCTGTGTGGGAAGTAGGGCAGCTTCCGCTGACAACCCCGCCCCTTCCAACGTGCCCTATTTGAGCAGAGGGAGCTGCACAAGCCCTTGCCCTGACCTGTTAATTAATGCAAAGGGCTTCCTCCCCACAAGGCGGCCACCATCCAGCAGCTTGTGACAGAGCCAAATGCAGGTGCTGGGTCTCAGCCAAGGCCCCTGCTTTGCAGCCTCCTTCCAGCCTTGCTGAGGTCAGAAATAGCCTAAGGGAGGGTTAACTGGGGAAGGCAGCCCCAGGAGAAGGGGTCCCAGTGTCGGTGTCAGGGAGGGTGAGCTGGAGCCCATAGGAATGGGAAGCAGGGAAGCATGAATCTTTTCACCACTTCACAGAGAGTAAACTGAGACAGAAGAAGAGAAGCCAAAGGCTCTGAGCAAATTCAAGCCCAGATCTTTAAACCCCAGCATGAGCCATCCTTATCCAAGGCTGTGGCTACATAGGCAGGCTCCCAATAGGATATCTAATGCTAAGCAATACCTGAAAAGAGAGGCATGAGAGAGAGGTGGGCAGGAAACTACGGGGGAGGAAGGCCCAGATAGGTCTGAGCTTCCCTACCTGCTCCTCAGAGCCTCTGTGAGGTATCCCCTCCCAGATTCCAGGAAGATTCCAACCAGGCTGATGGTGCCCTCACAAACCTTACCTCAGGTGCCCAACAACCAGAGACGCCCACCTGGGACAGGCTAGACCTGGAGTCCCGGAATTAAAGACCAGGCCTTGCTGTCCAGTATCTGCGGGAAGCAGGGCACAGTGAAGAGTGGAGAGCCTGGAAGGGAGCAGAGTACCCTGGGCCCAGAAGCCCCAGCCACAGCTCTCGGAGCAGGCCAGGCCAGGAGGCTGGCAAACCCACCTCAGGTAGTCGCGCCGGCACAGGATGAGGTTGGCCTTGGTGTAGAGCGTGGAGCCCACCTCACCCAGGCGGCAATCGCAGCAGGCGCACTTGAGGCAGTCCTCGTGCCAGTACTTGTCCAGCGCCTTCAGCAGGTAGCGGTCCTTGATCTTGCGGTTGCAGCCTGCACAGCCCTTCTGCTTCCCTTTGGGTTGGACGGAGAGCATCGGCACACCTGCAGGTGGACAGACAGACAGATGGACACAGGACCTGAACAGGGCTCAGGGCCTCCAGACACATCCCTCTTCTGGGATTGGTTGGTCCCTGCTCGGCTCTGCTGCCTGTCCTAGCTCCCAGGAGTCCCACACTGCTGCTTTCTAGGCAGTAATTTCTTCTGGCCTCAGAGCCTGCCCTTGGGCAGCATGGCAGAGCTTGTCCCCTGGCCTTGCAAAGATCACTCCAGAGGCTACAGGCAGCCCAAGGCGGCTGGGATCCAGGGCACACACAGCCCAGGCCCAGCCTGCTGTGCAGTTCCCACGTGGTCTGATGAAGGAGGCCAAAAGCCCTGCTCACACAGCCAGCATGGCATGAGCGGTCAGCAGTGGGCCTAAGAACGGGTCTGCTAGAGTTTCTAGATCTTTCTGGCCAACTCAAGTCTTCCTCACAGTGCAGTGGTCAATGTGGGTTTCACCATTTCAAGCCTGTCAGGCCAAGTCCCTCTGTCTACACGTGCCAAATGATGGCCACATTAGGAAGAAAGTGGGGGGCTCCAAGGACACTCCCAGGAGGGAACAGGAGGTTCTGGAACTCCTGGTACACACAGAGGCAGCTGGGTGACTATTAGGGGCTCCTCTCAGGAAGGCATCAACGAGAGCCCAACTTCTACCTGCCCAGGAAAGGAGGTCCAGAGGCTGTACAGCTGTTCACCCCTCCAGGATAAGAATCTCAGAGCTACCAGGCTCCACCCAGCTCATATGAGCATCCCACCACACAGGAAACAAGCGAGAGTGGATGTGGCGTCCTAAGACTATAATCCCTACACTCTGGAAGGCTGAGACAGGCGGGTGGCAAATTCAAGCCCCGCCTCAGCAATTAAGTGTGAGACCTTTTCTCTAAATATAAAGGAAAGGGGCTAAAGATCTGGCTCAGTGCAGAAGCTCTGGGTTCAATTCTCAGTAAACACACACACACACACACACACACACACACACACACACACACGGGGTAAGGAGAGATTGAGGGAAAAGAGGGAAAGAGAAGGGGAGGCAGGATTCAGAAAGCAGGGCTCACTGCAGGGGCAGGGCCTACTGGCAGGCGGGTATCCACACTCACATGCACCCATGTACATAGGCATGAGGTGTGGGTATGGGCACGGTCATGCACAGAGACACAGTCCCTTCCCATGGGACTACAGGCAGGGGCAGTTGAGGGGGTGGGGCCAGATTCTGACTAGGAGCCGAGCGCTTGAGAGAAGTGCAAAGGGTCCAGATTGTCAGCCTGTGACTCAACCTGTGACTTCGCCAGGCAGGTGGCCTATAACAGTCACCCAAGAACCAGCCCCTCATGAAAGTAGGGCTTGGGATTAGGGTCATTCCTTCCCTGACCAAAGCACAGCTGGATGGAGCGGCGATGGAGCCACCGTGCTCCAATGCCCCGGCTTTCCAGCAAGGCCTCAAGTCTTTCTCACTGGCCCCATCCTCTCCAAAGGACCGGGGCTCTCTCCAGGGCCGGAGTTTGGCTCCCCATGCCTCATAGCCCTCTCTCCTCCCCGCGCAAAGGCTAAGTGCCTGGGCCACTTTTCCTTTTTCCCCTTCCATCTTCTGGTGTGGTCTTTCCTGAGACCTAGGGGAAGAAGCAGCCACACAGAGGCCTCAGTCTCAGAATCCACAGAAGGCAGCCCACAGAACCCTCAATTCTTACAGTCAAATGCTCTCACACCACAGATGGAGAAACTGAGTCCCAGATGCCACAGGGCAGGGCTAGTGTAAGCCACCAATCCAACAGACCCCAGGACTTCTGCCTCTCTCCTGCATCCTCAGACTCCTGCTGGAGAAGCAGTGGCCAACAGCCCACTCTGCAGGGAGGGAGCCAGGCACCGCAAGCTGGGGGCAGTGGCACCAGCTAGGGCAGGCAGGAGGTGTCACAGAAGCTGCAGAGCATGCATGAGGGTCAGCTGGCTTCTTCCTGCTTCTAGTCCCCACAGGGTCTGCTAGCTGGGAAGTTTGCTGCCTGATTTCCTTTACTTTTTTTTTTTTTTTTTTTTTTTTGCGAAACCGGGGGTTGAACTCAGGCCTTTGTGCTTGCCAGGCAAGTATTTATTCTACTGAGCTATCTCCCCGGCCCCCTGATTTCCATAATGCAGTTCTAAAGGTTAATTGGCCTGAGAGAGTGATGGGGCTCAAGAGGAAGCTGTCCCCAGGCCTGCCTGGTCTCCTCTGGCAGGATCCAGTTGGGTCACAGAAGGAGCCCCTGGAGCACGACCTTGAGAGCTGGGGGACCTGTAAAGCACTTTCCAAGGTCTGGCCTACAGGGAGGTACGAGGTGCAGAAAATTAAAGATAAGGCTGGACTTGGGGATCCCCCAAGCAGGATGGCTGTTCCGAGGGCCTGTGCAAGGATCCCATAGCCAGCACAGCTATGCAGATAAATACGAACATGGATCTCTTGACCCAGTCCCTCCACAGCTGGTGCCCTGAGTGGGCAGCTGAGTGGACAGCAGGGCTGGCTTCCTCCCTGGGGTCCCGAGCCCCTGCCAGGGACCTACACTCTGGCAGGTCCCAGCACACCGTGCTGCAGACCCTGCACAGCTGAATGGCAATCGCTCCCCAGCAGGACCTGGCACCTTCAGGACCCCATGGAAGCCTCAAGGAAGCAATGCCACGAGCTGGCCCTGGTCCCCCTCCCTGAATGCGCCCAGAGGGGGGCCTGCTACACCTGGGCTTTCTCCAGGGCCTGGTCACGCTTCCTGTGGGTAGTGAACACAGCTCCACAAAGCTCTTATGAAGATCCTGCCAGTGTCTCATGTCCCTTGACACATAGAACACTATGGCCTGGGTAATAGGAACCCTTGAGATTTCTCTACCTAAGAATCCTGGGACAAGCCTACCCCAGAGCATGCACACGATCTGCACTCACACTGCACTCTGGATTGGCCACCACCAGCCAGGTGGTCAGAGTGAATGCCCTGATCTCCCTGGGCCTCAGTTTCCACACCTGCCCCATAAGTAAAACCAAAATCATCCCTTGCTTCTCACTGGAGGTTGATGAGAGCTCTAGGGGTCAAACACTACAAGGGCGTCTTCCTTTCTTGAAGAATACTACAGAGTGTGGGACCCTGGGCCAGGCTGGGAGGTGGACGCTGGGCCAGGCCGGGAGGCTCACGAACAAGCCTAGGAAGGTGAAGGGGCTGTAAGGGGGGCATCCACAATCTCCCGCTCCCCAAAGGAGGAGCTGCTCCCCAGAGGCCAGGCTGTCAGTCCCGGCCTTGCCCGCCAGCCTGCCCCCTGCAGGCCCTCCTCCTCCTCCTCCCTCCCCCTGCCTGGCTCTGGAAGCTGAGCCTCGGGCCATGCACTTTCCATTAAGGAGACAGCATCCCCTCTGCTGAAGTCCATTTGGGATCCATTTTAGTGTTATCTAAAAATCAAATCTACATGGTAATCCTTTTAATGTACTCCTGACTTCAGAAAGAAAAAACAGCTTTGCACTCCTTCAGAAAGGTTTTAAAGCATTACCCAGTAATTACTACTCACCCATGAAAACACTGATATTTTACAATGGAGGATATTTGCACAGACACATGCGCTCCGCCACGTGCTTAGGTGCACCCTCTGGGCCCAGCAAAATAACCAGTTCACCCAGCCTGCGTGCCCCCCACCCCTGAATCTCAGGGTATGTGGAGGGGAGTTTAAGGGAGACAGGCCAAACTCCAATCCCTGCTTCCGTCAGGGCAGGGTGGTGGCCGGGCTGAAGAGGGAGGCGGCTGGGCTTCGGGGAGAATCCTCCTGGTCTGACTCATCAGCTGCCAGACACTGACCCTCCACTCTAATCTGGGGCAAAGCCAGATGGTCCTAGTGATGCGGGGGGGGGGGGCTGCCAGAGGAGGGGACAGCTCCCTGTCCCTCCCAAGCTCCCCCTCCAGCCAGGAGAGAAGCTCTCTTCACACAGACTTCCAGGGCTGTTCACCACGCCAGACCAGAGACCTCAGCAGCTCCCGCCCAGCCCAGGCTGCCCCTCGGTCCAACAAGACTTTCCCAGGGCACCCCACTGATGGGCTGCCAGGCCCAGAGGTCCCTCTAGCTTGGACAGTGGTCTAGACTGCTGGGGAACGCTCCCATCCCCACCCTGCGAGCTGTTCCTCCAAAAGCCAATCTCCCCCCTCAGCCAGCTCCAGGTCACTCCAGGCCATGTTGTTTCCTTTGATAGAGTGACTACCATAGCCAGTACTGGTGACGCCACTGGCCATCCGGGGACCTTCCCACAGGGCAGTGCATGCTGCTCAGCTGTGCTGGACCTGCTCCCAGCAGAGCCCTGGGACACCATCCTTCTACCACACCCGTGGGGCAGGCTTCTTCTCTCCTAGGGCCAGAAGAAATGCCTCTGCCTACCCACCCCTGCTCTCCCACAAAGGCTGGAGTCAACAGCCGGCTTGAGGCTAAGAGCGCAGAGCCTGGGGCAGCTTGGAGCTTGCAGCAGACCCCTTTCCCACTTGCATCTCAGAAATGGAGGCTACCCAGGCTCTCACTAGCCAGACTGTGGCAAGGCAAGGAGCTAGCGGCCCGAGACCACAGCACGGAGTCTCGCACCAGGGTGAGGGGCAGTGAACATTCATGGCAGGTGCCATCCTGGCTTGGGCACTTTGGGGTTTTTAACTTTTAATAGTGATGTAATTTCAAGCTTCCAGCAGGGTTGCAAGAATAGGAAGGATTCTCGTGTACCTTTTACCCAAATTCCCTAAATATGAACCTTTTATTAGTTGGGAGGGGGGCCATTAGCTCAGGTGTTTAAGTGCCTGCTGAAACAAAGCAGTCAGGCTCAGGATGCTGTGGTTTGATCTCCTCAAGCCAAACCAGACCTGCCCTGAAGGCATCCTGAGCAGGCTCCCCCTCAAAAAAACCTTCCCCCTAGTTTCAGGGGCTGGGGAGATAGCTCAGTAGAATAAGCACTTGCCTGGCAAGAGCACGGTCCTGAGTTCAATCCCCAGCACCACAAAAAAAAAAAAAAAAAAAAAAAGAAAGAA